AAAAAAAATTAACTTAAATGATTTTAGCAAATGGCTGCAATATAACAAAGAGTGAAAAATTTAAGGGGGTCTGAATACTTTCCGTACCCACTGTATATATATATATATATAAATTTAGTATTTAAGAAATTTCAAATTTCAAATTTAAAAAAATTAATGTGTAAAATGAACACTGCTGTTCAAAAGTTTGGGATCAGTAAGATTTGTTATGTTTTTTGAAGTCGTCTCTTCTGCTCATCATGGCTGCCTTTATTTGATCATAAATACATATAGTAATATTGTGAAATATTACTACAATTTAAAATAATGGTTTTAATACTTTAAAATAATTTATTCCTGTGATCAAAGCTGAATTTTCAGCATCATTACTCAAGTCTTCAGTGTCACATGATCCTTCAGAAATCATTCTAATATGCTGATTTATTATCAATGTTGGAAACAGTTGTGCTGCTTAATATTTGTTTGGAACCTGTGATATATTTTTCAGGATTCTTTGAAGAATAAAAATTTTAAAAGAACAGCTAAAAAAAAAAAAAAAAAATGACATGAATATGTGGGCAAATGACAGTGGGCAAATGGATAAAGCGCGGCATAGTTTGAAATCACAAGTGAAGCCAAACTCTCCTCCTGTCTGCATTCAATTCTCACGGACTAACTGTCACGCAGAGTACACGCGATCATGCAGGATACAAATGCACACTTCACAAGATCTCACAGCTGGAATTGACTAAGTCTGCAAGGTTTGTGAAATTAAATGTTTATTAGACATTCAAAGATTTGTTTAAACGATATAAATGCATATTTGCTGAATGCTAAAGGTAAACGAGAATGCATTATAATGTTTGCCTTTCTATTACTAATAATATAAAAGCAATAATTATAATACTTTTTTTCAGTGTTTAAAGGTATTCACGGCAACCTGTCAAAATAAAAGTTCGGTTTAACTTAAAGGCATTGCGGCAGAAATATATGACTATTGTTCAGTAGAATGTACGTAATAGGCTGCTACTACTACTACTAAAATTATTAAAATTCATGAACCAAAATAACCCACTAAAGGTATTAACCTTAAAAAATCAGAACCGCCACTGTTCATCTGTCTTGCAGGCAAAATCCCTCACCCTTAAACAATAGGCTCCGAGTCACCAAAGAAGCACATTGTTTCATTCGCATGATACTCAGTGACTAATCTGTTATGTGGAGTGGCATGAAGGCATGACGGGGTTGAGTATAAAGATTGCCATCTTTACATTGAGGAGCAATCTTATCTGATATCAACTTCCTTTGAGCTGCTTTGAAAAATGGGAGCTGTGGAGTGAGATAGGGCTGCTAATCGACATGCTCATCTCATCGCCACAATCCTCTTATCAGCACACAGGACCTCCACACATTGTAGAGATGGTGCCCAAAGATGTGTAGGTTGAAAAGAGAAGAGGAGCCAAATAATAAAGCTTAAAAAAAAGTATCACCACCTGCAGGAATTCTGGGTAATCCATGCATGAAGTGATAGGAATACAACCAGAGATGACAAAACAGAGAAAACAAAACTAACTTTATGTAAATAGGAACTGGATGTGGGAAAAGAGTGAGTACTTTTACATAGACTTTCAACATTTCATTTCAGATTTTAAATGTACTAAGTCAGAATAAAATTTGAATAAAACAGATTTACCATGTATGCCTTTGTAGTTTGGCTTTGTCCAGCATGCATACTGTATGTTAACCAAACTATAACTGGCCTGAACATAGTGCACATGTGATGAAAAAGGATACATGCTATGTGCATTTCATCCTTCAAACTATTTGATTATGCACTGTGTTATGCATACTTGGATAAAAACTAACTGCAAAAATTATTGTAATTTCAATAAGAAAAAAAGCTATAAAACATGGTTAATGGTAAGTTGCCTTATGGTGAAAAACTGTAATAAACCTGTCAAGGAGATGATGACTAATGTAATTTTACAGTAAAACACTTAAATTTACAGTTTTGGAAGTGAAAAAGAACAATTCATCTTGTGATATACAGTGGAAACGCATAAAACATTCACAGAATTCCCTATGTGACACTTCAATTGATGGTTTTTCGTCTCAGTTATGAACATTAGGGTTTTATGTTACATCTAATGTTGCTAAATTGATGTTTATTGCATTACTTTAGTGCCATGTGTGTTACCATGATTGCGTTTAGTATTTGTGTTAATGACGCTGTGCACCTTCTATACATTAGTATTTAGTTCACTAGTGTTTTTATGGTGGTTAGTACTTCAGTAGGTTGGTATATTAACATATATAAGTTAATGAATTAAGTTTTTTTAAAGCTGTAAATTTATGTTCAATCCATAAAAACAAATTCTGCTACCTAATTTTTTTACAGTAAAATTCTGGCAACCACAGTTGCCGACTATGCAAAAGCCTGCTGTTGCACGAAAATTACTTAGCATGTAAACATACAGACTGTTATAATTACAAAAGATTGAACTTTAAAAACGTATAATAACTCACCTGCGTGATATGCAACAGAACCTCGACTCCATCCCGGATGCCTGTTCTTTGGGTAATCCTGAAAAAAAGAGAGGAAGAATAAGTAAAGGTATTCTAACAATTAAACAAGAAAAACAGTCCGATTTTACAGATACCAATGGACGTGATGGATTTACTGTAAATATGAGCTTTCCACACTTTCACTTTTAATAATCTCACTCAACACTTTCATATTAATGTGGTGGATAGACGATTGAGTTCTATAGCCACAAAACAATTACAGCATCACAGCTCATTGTTTTAGGTTTAAGTGTTGCTGTCACGTAGCTGCAAAGGTTATGTTTTTTCATATACACATACACCATGCCAGCAGAAACACAAGGAGAGGCCAATATTTTGATAAGATCTAAGAATATTAAGAGTTAATCAACATGGAAAGATATTTTTGTATTTCTCTGTTGTCACCTGAAGAGACCATTAAAGCCTGTTTACCCCAAAACAAATCACTTGAATCCTGTATATGAAAAGTACTTTAAAACATTCTTAATGCATTCATCATACACCTTACAATCTTCAAAAAAAAAGGTAAACATTAGCAAAGGCATTAGGTATCAGATTCACATGAATCAATGCTGTAACATGTTGCTTATGTTAATTCAAGTTTACACACATTAAAATGTATATGTTAGGGATGTGCATCTCATGACTCAGGCCGATACGATACGCATCTCGATGCATAGCCAACGATGCGATACATTAAAGATACATATGAAGCAGCTACCGATGCGATACGATTCACCCCTGTTACGATGCAGTGCGATCCGATTCGAAACAATGCGATTCGATGCAATACAACGCAATGGAGAAAATATGATCACTTTTAATGCTAAGAGTCCTGTTTCATAAAACAAGTTTACCAAATAAGCCAGGCTTATTTCAGTTAGTTTGACTTATTCATTGTCAAATAATTTGGTTCCATAAAGCAAATTTAATATGGGCCTAGATCAAGCTTAGTCACTGTGGCAACTTATGCTGGGAAACTAACCTGGTCTAAAGCAGGTTAACAGTCAGACTAAGCTGAGTTCCTTTAACACTGACCAATAGGAACCCAATGATATTACCACTGTCTCACATACTATTAGGCTATTGATTTTATTTTTTTACAGTTTCTAGCCATGCAACCTTTCTCTCTGGTTTTATGACAGCTGTACCTTTTATAGTTTCCAGAACAGATAGCATAACATTAGAACATTACAATCTAAAATTGCTCCCTTTCTCTCTGGTTTTATGACAGCTGTACCTTTTATAGTTTGCAGAACAGATAACATAACATTAGAACATTATTGCTCTTTAAAGCATTAAAATAACTAAATTAAAAGTTAAAATCACTGAATTAAAAATGAAAATAAATAATAAAGAAAATGACTATTTTAACAGCTATAAGAAACACATATTAACTCATTTGAGCTTAGTAATTACTGTAGGCTACTAGCTTACATTTGATTTACCTATTACAATAGTCCCTTTACAGTTACTGCTATCATAAAAATACACTTGTATGAAGGTTTAAAATTCAACAACATTTAATGTCCAACAAATATTTTAGCAATGTATATTTTACTCAGAATTATGTTTAGCGCGCATGCGCGCAGCATCGCTCGTTCACTCGCGTCAGCCTCACCCACTCCTGACAGAAAAATGTTTGCATGACTTTCTAACATTTACAAATGAAAAAATATACCTGTGACATGTCAGTTATGCACTGAGGAAAACACAACATCTCAAATGCATTAAACAGCACAGATATATAATTCGCTGTTTGCGATGGTGGATCGATTTGATCCATGATCGACATTAAG